AGTGCTGCTACAGGCATCGCATGGTGATTAAGCACAGTGGTATCGTCATAAACAGCAGTGACAAGACGTGCAGACAATTGCTCTTTACAGTGTTCAAGAACCTCTCTCTCCTCTGGGACCCACACTGCCCCCAGCCTGGAGGAAATCCTGCTTTGATCTCCTTAACCAAGTGCCAGGAAGGGAGCCAGCTTCCAGGACCTTCCCTTGGACAGGGTAGGAAGAGGCCCATCTTCTCATCAAGGGTTACTGCTTGGAAATGCCCCCACCCAACTGTGCCTACTCAACCAAACCAGTGGAAAGTAAACGTTCATTTCAAAACCAGGACCAACAAGCTGATCCGACAGACAGTCAAGTGCCTTGTGGTTTCTTCACAGGATGGGCATCATGCATCAAACAGGGTAAAGCTGCTATAAGCTTGTGGAGGGTGGCAAGCAGTTAAAAGCCAACAGGAGTGGTGGCATCCATTGCTTGTGCTACTTGACAGCTGCACCAAAAAGAGCTGCCAACCGGCTCCCACGAGGGCTCTGGAGCATCTGTCCATCAAGCGACTGACTACATCAACGTCTTAGTTTCTTTTTCTTCTTACGGTTCCGGTCCTCACCACTGTCATCTGCCTCGCTGGCACTGGGGGTCACAGCCCGCTGGATGACTTTTTTTTCTACTGCATATTCCTGCTCTCCTACCTTGGGGTCTCCCTTGACCAAGAACTCCCCTTTCCGGTAAGTTATGGAGACATTGGTCTGTGGGTAGGTACCATAAACCCTCCGGAGATCATCCTTCACAAACTCTGGAAGGTCTTTCCTTGGTCCAAATACCTTTCTGAGCTTCCCCCATTGAAGCTCCCCTCTCATCGTGAAGCCTTCTGGCCATGTGTCTCGATACTGATCAGCCCTCTGGTATGCAGTGTAGGGACTGTAGTTTGCATAGGGATTGTAGAGAGGGATGGGGACCATGGGAGGGAAGTGCCAGGTGTAGTACGGACAGAAGTAGGGATTGGAGGCACTGTAGAGATGATGATACTCCATCTGACCTCCCGCATAGTCAGGGTAGCCATTCCGGTCCACCACAAAGGTGATGGGTCGGCTGTAGAAGTTGTGCATGTGGTTGGGAGGGAACATCACGGAGCTGGTCATGTTTTCTGCTCTCCCAGTCCGCAGCGGTGGGCAGGTGTAGGCAGAAGGTGGGATCACGGTTGGGTAATACTCCCGCGGCACAAAGCCAGAGTGGTACATGGTACAGGAACAAGGGTTTTACACAGGGGACATTTCTCCAGAGCTGTTGCTGAGTCTCAAAAGCTGTGAGGACAGGAGGGGAAGATAACCAATTTAGATTGGTTACATACATTTCAGAACCAGGCTAAATAAGGAGATATGCCTAGCACTGTAAGCACACCAGCCAATTAATAACAGGAGCTCCCTGCATCTGCAGCTTGCAGGGACAGTAATGTACCAAGAACAAGCAGAGCCACATAACCAGAAACTGCCTGTTAGCTGCTCAGCAAGACTCATCATTTAACACACCCAAGTCTTGGAATTACAAGGATGGGAACAAGCTGGCATAAAAACCACCAAGGGCAGAGGCAATGGCCTCACATCCTCATGACATGGTTCTGCACTGCTGGGAGGCAGCAAGAGAGGCTGCAAGAAGCTATAGAGACCCTTGAGCAGGCATAAAAATGGGGAAGGCAAGCACAAATGAAAAGAATTCCAAAAATAAAGAAAGCAGGCAAAGAGAAGAAAGAGGACACAGCCCAACCACAATAGTTTCAGCTGCCATTCTCCCCAGACAAAGAGATCTTAAGAAAAAAAAAAAAAAAAAACCACTTGACTGCCAACTCTCTCCCCATCCTCCCACAGCCCTGCTTCTATCCCGATAAGCAAGCAAGAGCCATGCTTACTACTTGTTTCTAGAGCAAAATCCAGGTGCATCTGCATGTTCTTTGATCAAAGTTCTCATGTAAAGGCACCTCATTTTGTTCTCACCAGTTATCATTCACATTTAAGTGTGCATTTACCTTGAGCGACACTGACCCACAGCTGAATTTGTTCCCAGCCTGCCCTCAGTGGACAACCCAAGCACCCTCCAGGGCATTAAGCAATGTCCTCTCGTGACTCACTGTCCTCTCCCCAGGGGAGAGGGAAGGGAAGCAGGAAGGGAAGCTGTACATAACATGGGGTTTTTAAAAACAGTTTACTACGAAAGACAGGAAAAGACCACGCACAGAACTAAATGCAGCAAGGCTGGGTTTCCCCCCCGCCCCCGGAGTTCAGATCCAGTAGGCTCTTTTTGCTTCAGCCTTAACTACAGTTGGCCGACACGCAGGTATTGACCAAGAAGGTAAGATGAAACTCATCCCTCTCCAGCCTACAGAAAATTTGGCGGTCCCCTAAGAACCTGCTTACCACAAGCTGTACTGGGTACTACACAACAGAGGTTTTTGAGGTTTTTCTTTTTTCACCCAGCACGAGTTGCTCCTGTCCCCTGAGGTTCACAGTCTGCACTGGCCCAAGCCTGCTTTTTCCATGGGTGCAGAGCCAGAAGTCTACGCACTGCACAGGGGAACAGCATTTAGACATGACCTGGCAGGACCCTTAAACAAGGGCTACAGCCCTGGAGCCAAAGCCCATCATGACTATCACCTCCCCAGATGGGGGGGGGAGAAATTTCAACCTACTTCATTATAGCCCTTACAAAGAAAGGCTCAAACAGCTTCAAGTAAATTAAAGCAAGCTCAAACAGTTTTGACTGAGGCCTCCCCAGCTCACTAGCAGGCATTAGGGAGGAAGAGAGTGGGCACCGTGATGTTTCCTGCGTTCAGCCCAGTTTACAACAGAGTGTAGCTCAGGCACTCACCAGGCAAGGACAGGGCTGGGTGCCCCTCTGTGCCCAAGGGCTCCTCAACATCTCTTCCTGAGCTTCCCTGACCACTCTGAAGAGGTTTAGAGCTGAGCCTCCTGCAGCAAGATGCTCCACTACACCCTGTTTGAGCACACTTTGTTAGACCTCTATTGAAATTAGGCTATTAGCAAGTCTCCAAAAACATTGCCTGCCTAACTTACCCAGAACCACCACAGAAATCCAGAGGGGTATTGTATGTCAATGGCAGCATGAGGTGGGTAAATGGAATAAATGGTCTCTTTTTAAAAATCAGTCTCAGTGCCTCTTTTAATCCAGTCCAACCCTGCATCCCTGCTGAGGTTCACAGGATCATTTCCACAGATCCATCATCTGCAGAGAAGCCACGTAGCTATCGCATCCACTGAGCAAGACAAAGGCAGCCCAGCTTACCCCTCCTGCTGGATGAGTGTGCTGCTTCGTGCCAGTTTGGGACAGCCCTGGGGAAGCCGTAACCTCAGCTAGTGATGACCAGCCCTTGCTCAAAAAAAGTACAAATGTTCCATCTACCTCCCGCTGCAGCACCCTGTATTTTGGCTGGCAGCATCAGTGCTCCTGGGCCTTTCCAGCAGCTAGGGGAAAAGGGGGTAACAGGCAACCTAAATCACTCGGGTTTTAGCACTGAGGTAGCCCAAGCACAGCTGTTAATTGCATTAATGTTGCCCTGGAAAATAAGGGGAACAAGCTGGTGGCTCAGCCAGGCAGGATGGCCTGCAAGAGGAAGCAAACTGAAGAGATGAGTGGGAATGAGATGAGGATTAAGCAGGGTTGGGAGCACTTCAGGGCAGCACTGTCACATGCCCGACCACAGAAGTTAAGACATTTCCCTGGAAGCAGATCACCCAGGAGGAGGGTGTTGACAGCCAACACAGTATAGACAATACTTCACAGCCCCGGAGGAAGCTTGCAAACCCGTCAGGGCAAGCCTTGGTTGGGCGGCTGGGGCTCCGGCTGGCTTTGCCTCCCCTGGGCTCCACTGCCCGGCTGCCTGGCCCTGCCCGCTGCCCCAGGCAGAGCTCTCCCCCATGCCTGGGCACCAGAGCTCTCAGGACTGCCCCAACGCACGCTTTCCTTCACAAGCACAAGGGCCCGAATCCCAGGTCCTGGCTTGCAGGGCACGGCACTGCTCTGAATCACTAGGTGTGCTGCAGCAATGTTTCGGTATGCAGGGGGCACAAGGCTCCTGCCCTGCTCCTCCAGAGCTGCAGCCTTGTACTCCCAGGGGCTGACAACATGGTTTACCCCACCATTACACCAGTGCCTGTTCATATGGACATTCAGGCTCCTCCAGCTTCCAGAGGCAGATTTTGGGAGACCACAGCTGAAGCAAAGAAGCTAGAATCTGCAGGGCTGAGCTAGGGTGTGACAAATCCATTTGTATAGGAGGAGAGAGCATTTTGAGAAAGCCAGTACCAGCTTGCCCAACCCTGTCCCACACTCACTGGGAAGTAAGAGCTGGTAGCGCTTCAAGGGAAAACAGGATTTGCTGGGAGGGTGATCTTTTGTTAGGCTACCAGATGGCTAGAAGGCATCAAAAGCCAGATGTTTAAAAAACCCCACACCCAGACACCAACATTATCTAGTGTACCCCTTGAGGAAATGGTCCAACTTCCATCCAGTCTCTTCTCCCCTTCTTCTTTCCCTGCTCCTACTTCCCTTGTTTCTCTGGTGCCAGCAGCCAGAGGCTGCCCTGGCTTTGGCAGTGAACATCAAACAGCCTCCAGCTCTCCCCCCTGCTCTTCAGGAGCTGGAGGCTGTTTGATGTAGGACTGGAATGGGAGGGCAGATCCTGGCTGATCTGTCTCTTCAGGCTACCATCCACTTCCTTCCCTTGCTCCAATTTCAAGCTCTGCTATACCTTGGGAAAAATTACCACATCCATTGCCTAGCACCTGGATGCCCTGATCAGGAAAGGGCAAAGCGGTCCTTAAAGCTCAAGCTGAGCTCTGCTTAAATGTCTTCTTGGTCCTGAGAGCCACTAAGAGCCATCAATAAACATCAGCTCCTTGGTAGCGCAGACTGAAAGGGTGGATGGGCAGGCACCAGCCTGTCCATGCCTAGGAGCCAAGCCTCCCCAGCCAGGGCACCAGGAGCTGTAGTTGCCAGCTGGGATCAACAAGGGACCAAGCCAGTAAGAAAAGAAACAGCAAGAGACAAGGCAGCCTCTCCGTTCAAGCCTTTCCAGCAATTTTGACCTTGTTGGAAAAGGGTCCAGCCCCATTTGGCTGGAGCTGAATGAGGAGCCAGGCACAAAAAAAGGGGGGGAAAACTCCAAAGGAGGTCGCAGCCAGCTGAAATGAGATTGTCATCTCTGCTTGGTGAGAACACAATACTTCAGACTCTTCCCAGGCTTGCCAGAGCTGACTCCAGCAATTCCCTCGCCCACCGCCCAGCCATCTGGCAGGGCCTCTCCCTCCTCACACGTCTTGGTGTGGGTCAAGGAGACCAACACCACAGCTCCCAAAATACCTGATCTGCCGAGCACAGCACGCTTCAGGGCCAGCTGACCCAGAGTTGCTATGGAGCAATCAAGCAATGTTTGCAAGAGCCAGAGAGTACACTTGATAGCTCAAGTAGAGAGAAAATTGCTTCACCTCTCTACTACACCGTTACTACAGGTGATGAATCCACCACTAGTTAACAGAGAAATGCCCAAGGCTGGTAGGGCTTTTCTAGTATCTAAAGCAGCACAAATTACTTCCTAGCATTACAGAAGACCATGGTTTTGCTGAACATGTCTCAGGGCAGTAGAGCTTTACTGTCACCCAAGCTAGCTTTGAATGTGGGGAACTTTCTGTTTAGGTAGAGTCATGGAGCACAAAAACCACTGTGAGCTGCAGAAAACAGAGGAAGATATAAACATTCAAGTCCATGCCAGACTGCACAGTCTCTAGGAGAGGGATTAAAGTAAGCCTGACTGTAGCACAGGCACAGACCAACATACAAGGTGTACCACAGTACCCAACATGTGAAACTTCATACAACCATCCCACTTGTCTGGAGAGATTGGTTCCACCAAGACAGACAGATCAACGAATGTCACCAAGTCTTTTGTCCACCTGAAGCAGCAACCAAGTTAGCTTGGTCCTCAGGTCAGGCTGGCAGTTTGAACATGTTCAGATGCTTCCTTGGGGGCCATACTGAAAGCTAATACAACTGTAGAGGCATTCGGCTCACAGGAGAGGACATGGCCATCTATTTTACTCTAAGGGTTGACCAAGACTATTCTTTCCTCATGCCATTGCCCTGTGATCAGCTCCCAGACAAAGGAAATGGGGTGGAATCTTTAAGGTTCCTTCCAACCCAAACCATTCAATGATTCTATGATCCCACCTAGCTACCTTTTCCTCTCCACTGTTCCAGCACCCAAACTTTCATACTCTTCTTTCTGGCTTTCTTCCT